TTCACAGTTCTCGTGAACTGGAAACAGTTGGAGGTCAGGAGAATACTACTAGGAATTGGCATTTAACCACTGTTGAAGACAGAAATAGTTTTTCCTGTGTTCTTGTGTAATCCTGAAGGATGGGATTCATCTACTATAACTCATAATCTCAAAACTAGATTGTTAAACTCAGTGGGATGATCTTTGGTTTTGAGGTGTCTCCCTATCTGCATTGCCTACAGACAGCAGGACTGAACACTTCATGGCTGTGTAGGTGAAGTGAATCCCATTCCTGCCATGGTTTTGTAAGAACAATAGCAAGTTACAGACAGAACTCAAAGATTTATATCAATGACTGAAGGTATCTTTCAGACTCTCTGGCCCTCTTGCAGAATGCTGAGGTGATTTGATAATCCTGAAAGCTCTTTTAATTTAGCATAAGAAAGTGGGATAGCTGTTTGTGAAACCTGATGTTGAACATACTTCAGTGGGAAATGATGACCCTTTTTTAGAATGTGTGTAATTAAATACTGAAGCACTTGAGAATATGGGGACATGTCCTCTAGTTCAAATAGAAGTGCTTACTTTGAGTAGGTCAGCTCCTCTAACCGGGGTTATGAGGCAAGTTTGTTGCAGTTTCTAAAACATGAAATAGCTTGTAGCTAAAACCTTTTAGAAATGAAGATTCTAAAGGTTCTGGCTGCTGTGCCAGTGTCAGTGGTATAAACCCATGTAACCCCCAAACTGTACATGTTGTAAGTGGTTTCTTCTATTGTCCCTCAAATGTGTGCACATGCATCAAATTTTTCCTGGTCCTGAGGACTGAAAAGCTGCACATCCTACATAAGTCCTATGTACAAAATAGTTCTGTTGCCATGAAGCACGTCAAAATATTATAAGCTGTAAATATATAAGAAATACAGGACAAAGAAACAACTTAGGTTTTTTTTCTTCCAAACTTTTCAATGTAGAAAGAAAAGTTACTCTTTTTAGTCTCCTGTTCATTTTATGAGGAGAAAAAAATTGTGCAAGCAATGGCAAGTTGCTAATCAGTTCCTTTGTGATCCGAAATAATTTATTAAGTGTCTAGTTATAAAATTTCCACTTAATACAGCAGAACTGGATTTGTTACAAAAATTTCTTGGAAAGAGATGTTAATTTGTTTGCCTGCTTTTTTCTTCTATAATCCATATAGCTTGCTCCCAAATCTGCTTTGCTCAGAAAATTCCAAACAAAACCCAATTGTTTCTAAATAAGAAGATAGAGTTAAATGCTGCTTTTTGGTACCACAAACATTTCTAAAGAGAGTAAGACCTGACATCTGATTACACAGGCATGGTGATATACCTGAAACTATACTGGTGACTGTCCAAATGACAAACAGGTTATTCAGTCTTTGTTTTCTTTTGCAAGAGTACCAAACTGGAGGGTTGGTCCTACCACATCTTCCTTTAGAAACAAGCAGTTCCACAGTGATGCTCAGGCCATGTCCTGGTGCACAAGGGCTGGCTTACTCAATACTGTGTTATGGTGGCTTCTAGCTCCTGTTGTTAGTGCTGCAGATAAGGGTTCAAGAAGACTTTTGGTGGGTTAGAGACTTTCAGAGGTATTGGAGCCCTGTCCTGTAGCTTTCTAGACTTCAGTTTGCAAGTGCTGGCTGACAGTCCCAATCTGAACAGATTGTCATTGTTCAATTCTTTAACTTCTGCATAATCTTTGCATGAATAGAATCTCTTGTGTGTCTTGTGGAATAACCTTTTATATAGTTAGGATCTGCAATAATTTTTTCCTTTGGAAAGTAATTCATGTCATCTTGCAGAGATAGGACAGACATAAAGCATTATTCTGCAATCACACAAGAAGCACTATTCATTCACAGTTTGTGTTATGAAGCCAGTCCTGTATCCCTGGGGCTGGGCTGGTTTCATGGCAGCAGTCCTAATTACAGAATCTTTCTGCAGTGGTACTGAACTGGGGGCTGCTCTAGAGTCAAACTGGAATGAAGTTGCAGCCTGGAAAGAGCCAAGTAGGAAAGTTTCTTGATGTGTTTGGTCTTTTCATTCTACTTATAAACAGTAGGTTTTAGTCACCCACCAAGAGTCACGACTGAAGCTCAGTTTGAGGCTGCATTCCCAGATCTGAAAACGGGGATATTCCTCTCTCAGGCTTTGTCCTGACTAGGTTTGCGTGCTGGATCATGTTCAACAGATCACATTCAAATAAAGCTGCAACCTGAGCATGTCCTACCTCGGCCAAGGCAGTGGGAGAGAAATTTCTACTCTGCATCTGTAAGGATTTGTGCTGCTCCAGCCCTTGAATAACCTGAGCATGTTTTTGCAGACAGTGATAATAAAGCAATTAGTAAATAATTACTGAAAAGACATTAGTTAGTATGGTAGGAAAGAGGATATTGAGGTTTTGTATTCTTTGTTTGATTACTTCCTCCTCTGATGCAGCAGTAAAAGGTGCTGACAGCAGAGGCAGGAGGCAGCAATCCTTGTGTTGGCTTGGGCAAATTTGTGTTTGCATTGTGTTGGTTGGTGATAGTACCAGAGGAATACAGGCAAATGAAAAGGGGTTAGAGAGTGCAGCAGTCATTGCATAAACACCTTGTTATTGGGCATAGCTGGCACTACAAGGTTGAACAAAAGAAAAAAAAAAAAGTCCATTTAGGTTGGGAATCCAGGAGAGCTTTTCCTTGAAGGAATAACCTTATACATGCAAAAACTTCATTGCTTGAAGGTGGCTTAAAGAAGTAGAGAAACCGGCTTAGTTGGCAGGAGGAAACTACGCTTGGAGTAACAGAGGAGGAGACAGTGAGTAATACATTATTACTCTAATTAAGAAATAACTTAATCAAGATGTAATTATTGCCCAAATTAGGTATAAACCCAAACTGTTCTTTGCTGCTAAAAGATCAGTCTGTCCTTGCTGTGTATGACACAGAGGAAGAAGGGAGCTCTTAGGAAGTCCTATGCTTTTTGAGAAGCAATATTAATTCTTCATCAAACTTGCTGTCCCTGAAGGCTTCTCCTTTCTCTAAGTATTATATAGGAGTCATTTCAGGAAATGCCAGAAGGCTTGTTTGAAGTTGATGGAGGTTCAGAAAAGCAGCAGACTTCTTACCCTGATGTGCTGAAGGGAGTCCATGGATCAGTGGACTTCTTGGAGGCCTAACATGAGTTTCCTTACAGAGCCCATGAAGGCACCGGGGAGCCAACAGCACATTTTGAACTGTGGCTCTGATTCAGCAGAGGGTTTAGCACATGTGGCAGTGAAGCCTGAGAGGAGTGAGTGGAGGGTGTGAAGTGTCTTCCCTGGCTTTGTGAGTGATGGTGTGAACACCTCAGGGTGTGAAAAGGGTTCTGTGCAGGCCCTTTCTGGTGCCTTGACTCACTGCAGGGGCTGGGGCACAGCTGGTACCTGTGCTTGTCCTTGGGCAAGGGGCACACCTTGTACCATGGCTCATGCCGGGGGAAGGGGCACAGCTGGCACCACTGCCGTTCCCTGGGGAAGGGGCACACCTCATGCCTCTGCTCATCCCTCAGGAGGGCCCTCCCATGCCAGTGGGTGTGGAGAGGGGCAGGCCGGGACAGGAGGAGCTGAGGAGCTGCTTGGCCCGCAGCTGGGATGGGCAGGTGGCAGCCTGTTACAGAGCCCAGCATGGCAGTTAGCTCTTAATCCTGAATGCAGTCTTTGCAATGCTTTATATAATCCAAAGAACAAAGTGGGAAGGATTCTTTACCTGTGCCACTCCATATAACTGCAGTGAGCAGACATGGCACATCACAAGTTCCATTGAACACTCTTGAATCAGTGCTTCTCAGTTTTAACTTAAGGCTTTAAAATATGTAAAATGTGAACATTTAGACTAATGCTCTCCCCAGTGGGTAATTACAACAGCACCAAACTCTTAGGGGACTTGCCTTGTGTGGGCTGTGTTTGTCCAGGCTTTGAGCTAAGTTGGTGGGATGGAACTGTGGGGAGGGCAGTGCTTTCATCACGTGCAGGCCTGGCCTTTCACAGTGCTGGATGTTTGCCTTTGAAGAAACCAAAATATACCTGTGCTGTGGAGTGACTTAGCTGTGTGATACAATAATGTTTTATTAAACAGATTTCTGTTTGTACAGGAATAGAGGGTGTTAAGAATTTCACTGGGGTGTTTTCATTTGATTGTTCATGTATTAAAGAAAGATGAGGCAATGTCTAAAATTAATGACCCTTAAATCTGAGATTTGCTTTTTTTTATAACAAAGTTAAACAGCTTTTGAGTTTTTTTCTGATGCAGTTCTGACCATGATAATAGGAAAAGCAGCTGGAAATGACTGTGCTAAGTGTAAAACACTAAATTCCTAGTTTTCATAGGCTTAACCTTTATACAAATGTTACTATCCTCAATGTCTACAGCAGTGGACTTACTGTATTAAATATACTGCTACTTATGGGTTGTAAGAACAACATAATTTTTCCATAAAATATATTGCTATGGCCCCAGAGACCTTGGTGAAAGGCTAATGGAAGCCAATGTGGCCTTTACTAAAAACTGTGCATTCTTAGAGGCATTCAGCTACTTTGCTGCAGGCTTTTTGCAGCTTTTTATAATCCAGAGAGCTCGGAAATCCTGAAAGTGCTTTTCTCTACTGCCCTTTGCCTTATCTTTAGAGCCTTGGAAAACAAAAGGCAGAAATTCACAACAGGATCAAAATGTTTTGCTCTATTAGAATTAAAGGTAATGTTTTGCTCAGTCTAGGGAGGTAAAAAAGCAAGGCTGAAAAAAATTAATGAGTAGCTAAAATAGAGCTGTTAAAATGGCAGCACACAGACAGCCTGTGTATAAATATAGGCCAGCTCCTCAGCACTGCTCTTATATGGTAGATCTGAGTGAAAGAAGACTATCAGCCTACTCTCTTCTGTGCAGGCCTGTGTGCTGGTTGTTCTGTCTGGTGCCAGATGTTTGGTAGTAGACAAGGCTGCACAATACATGGCAATCATAATGACTGTCATCTTTATTTCTATTGCAGGGACCTGTGTCACCAGTGTGAGAGAGGAATCTCCCAAGTACACTGTGGATTTTTTCTCTGCACATGCTACTGGATTATCTATCTTTTACTGACCCACCCAAAAAGAGAGAAAAAGGGTCAATCAGAAATTGTTGACTTGTCACTTCTGTCATAAAACTGACTGGATTTTATGGCCTCTGCTGGAGAAGCTACCTGGACCATTGGAAATGGAGCAGCTTGTGCTGCATCTCTTCTGGGCATGGAATATGAGCATCGAGGTGCCTTAAGTTAAACCATATGCAAGTTGCACTAGTTGTTGTAACTGTACTGCTGAAACTACTCCAGGCTTCGCCGGGGCTTTCCAAGGCAGTAGCTCTTCACACAGTTTGGATGTTTCCAATAGACATTTGAATGTTTTCATCCAGTCTGGTGTGGCTGTGAAAAGTGAGCTTTTCCCTGTGAAGTTCATGGTGAGTTTTGCAGCCTCACTTCCCGGCGTGGTCTGTGCTATGGCAGCGACCTACAGGCTGATGGTGACTTCAGTGAACTGCTACAGCAGCGTGGTGGTAGAGCAGCACTCCCAGCACACCGTGCACTACTGCACAGGCTCCTGCCAGCTCCTCAGGCAGGGACTCGCCTGCATAGTTGCTCACCACAGTGTCTGTGCAGAGCTCAGTGTCCAAGATGCCAACCTGGACCATAAAATTCCTGTTCCTGAAAATGGTCTTGCCTTGGCTGGAAATGAGGACTATCACCAAATCCTCCCAAATAATCCAAGAATCAAGAAGGGCTTTTCAGTGCAAACCTCCAGCAGTTTAAAAGACATTACTGGTGAGGCAATAAACCTTGCCAGTGGTAAAATAAAGGAATTCTCCTTTGAAAAGCTCAAAAACTCTTCCAGTCATGTGGCCTACAGAAAGGGAAGAAAAGTTCGGTCAGAATCTTTCAGCAGACGATCCTTTGATTTTGACTTGATTTGTGGGCACTTTAACAATGATGAGAACTGCCCTCCATGTGGCTTTTTTCAGAGTCCCTCACCTGTGGAGAAATGGCAGGAGAGCAGTGATGCTCGAGAAGTCACCATGAATTCTGTGGTTCCCTTCTGCCCTCCTTCCTTCCCTGAAGAAAACCTCATTACCCAGATTTTAGAAAAACACAAGCTACATGGTTCTTCTGGTGGGGATATTAAGGTGTGCCTGGACATCCTGCTCAAGTGCTCAGAGGATCTGAAAAAGTGCACGGACATAATCAAACACTGCATCAAGAAGAAGTCTGCAGATGTCGGTGGAGGGAACAGCAATGTTCCCCTGGCTAATTCAGAGATGATGTACATGAATCTGATGACAAGATTTTCTTCCTACCTGAAAAAGTTGCCCTTTGAGCTGAAGACAGCGGGGCAGAGGGAAGCGAGTGACTGGGCCGAGCTGATGAACTGTTTCCATGGCTTGCAGCAAACTCCCTTTCCCCTGGTATTTGGTGATGAGCAGCCACCCAGGTATGAAGATATTATTCAGTTGCCATCCTCAAGTGCAGTTCCTCTTGTTCTACCAGGTCAGGGTGAGGTGACAAGCACCTCCCAGTCCATCCAGACAGGTACTGTGAGCTTCACCTCCAGCTCCCTGCCTGCTGTCCCTGCAGAGAGCAGCGTGAGAGCGGTGAAAGATGCTCTACCTCAGTCACCAGCCCCGAGCCCCTGCGACTGCACATCTGCCACTGAGGCGCTGTACATCGAGGAGGAGTCTGATGGGGACAGAACAGCAGAGACAGAGAAGAAGGCAGAGCAAAAGGGGGGCTGGCAGAGCCTGGAGCGCAGCTACCAGCGAGCTGCTGGTTCAGACCTTGCTGCTGATGCTAAAGCAGAGCAGGCCAGGGCAGAAGATGGTCCCGAGCAAACTGCTCCTTTAAAACCAGTGTCAGACCCTGTGTTGTGTGGTGCCCAAGCTGCTGTCCCCAAAGGGGCCCAGACATGCAGTAGGGTGGACAAGGAGGAGATAGACAAACTGCTGCTGGACTTGGAGAGCTTCTCACAGAAAATGCAGAGTACTCTGAGGGAACCCTCTCGGAAGGAGAACGAACCTGCCTCGCTGCAGGTGTCTGGCAGGCAGGGTAGGCAGGCTCCACCTCTGGTTCTTGAACCCAAAAGTAAACCTGCTGATCCCCCCTCTTCTTTGTCAAAAATCATGGAACCCAATGGTCATAAAATGGAAGAGGATGACAGAGCCCTTTTACTGCGTATCCTGGGAAGCATTGAGGACTTTGCCCAGGAGCTGGTGGAATTCCAGACAGGCAAGGGAAGTTTGTCCAAGGAGAGGGAAGTGATGCAAATTCTCCAGGAAACTTTAGCAACTCCTTCACAGTCCCTGCTTGCAGGGCAAAAAAGCCATGCTGGGGCTGCCTCCAGAGACTCTGTTCCAGCTTCAATTCAGCAGGTCCCAGAAATAATAAAGGTAAGAGAACAAAACTTTTGATGGGCTAGTGAGTAAAACAAACATGGGAAAATGTGGGGGAGTGTGGGGAATTACATCTAAGTGATGCTTTGAATGCTGCAGTGTGGAATAATGTGTTAAACCTGGCAGAAATGTAGCCTTTATTTAAATATAAACAAAAAAAGGAAACTGAAACCCATGAGAAAATAAAGTAGGTCCTGACATGGAGTTTCACCTTTGAGCTTGATTCTTTCCTGCTGTTGCTCCTGTAGACTGCTTGTGGTTTAAATGGGTCCCTTATAATAGGGTGTAGTAATAATTACTTTAATAAGTATAAATAATAACTTTATTTCTGGGACCAAGTATTGGACTGCCTCTCAGCAGTTCAGTGAGAACTGATTCTTCCACCTCTCCCTTTCCCATCTCTGAGCAGCCTTTCTTGTCCTCCTCATCACTAGTTCCTGAAGAGAACAATCCTCCATGGGACAAAGGACAGAATCTCAGAGGATTTTGTTTTGCTTTCCTTGTCCCCAGTTGATGGAGTCATGTAGAGTCTGTGTTGCTTATATCTCAAATAAGAAGCAAGTTTTCCCAGGAAAAAGGGTCTTGATGAGAGCCTGTTTCAGAGGGAAGCCAGGGCTGTCGAGCTTTTTATTTGGTAATGGCTGCCAAATCTCAAGAAAACTTGTTGTTATGCTTCCACGTAGGCAGTAACTGTAGAGAGGACTTCAATTTCCAAAATTCCTCTTCATAGGCACTGAAAAAGTGCCATGGTTGTATGTGAACTTTCACAATTTCTTCCAGTTGGAAGTAAATGTGCATGTTTTCAGAACTGTCCACTTTAGCCCAAAATTTGATGCAATTCTGAAAAAGAGTGCATGGATTCTATCTTGCCCTACATGATGGCACTGAGATCCTTTTTGACCAGGCTCTCCAAGAGTTTCTCTTGTTGCTCTGGGAAACTTTGCTTACAGAAAATGGTATTCTGATATTTTCAGCAAGGGAAAGAATCTTTTTCCTCACAGTGTGTAAAATTAAACAGCTCCAAAATCTCTAAAGTAATCCCTTGTAATCTTGCCTTGTACATTATTTTACTAAATTTTCTGACTTGTGAATCAAACAAAAATGTGTTTGATGAAGTGTGACACTGGCTTTGTGGCAGATTTTATGTAATGCTTGAAAATGGGATGTATTGATGCTGCCAAGTGGCTTCTCAGTGTGATGCCTTGGCAGGTTGTGCTCCCCTGATCCCACCTAGCTGTGTGTTAGCTTGCTCCCGGCCTGCCTTCTATGGACATGTGCTCCACAGCTACCAGAGCTCTGCCCCTCCGTGCAGTCACACGACTCCTGCCTTGTGCAGATGCCCAGAACCAAAGACCCTGTGAGAGAAGAGCTGTTTTGGGGAGGCAGAGGATGTGGAGGCAGCTGGTCCACTCAGCAGTGGGCACAAGGCACTGGGCTGCTGGCCCTGCACTTGCCCTGAGGTTTGCTGTTATTTGTAGCACAGATGTGTCCCCTGCTATGTGTAGCATCTAGGGAATACATCCATATTCCTGGGTCACTCTGGATGTAATTGAAGCTGCATGTGGAATCTCACTCAGTATTGCATGTGTGCTTCAATTATGCAAAGTATTTGTTGTATTTTCTTAAGGCTCATAAAAGTGTTATCAAATAGCTGGGCACACATGCAGGAACCTCAGAGCTCTCAGACTGGTGACAACACAACACACCTTTTGTTTGTGAGTGTGACATATTTAATATCCCTCAATGCTAAGCAATAAAAAAGGGAGGGAGAATCCTTCAGACCAGGCTGTCCTCTGGCTCAGCTGGCCTATCTGTGTTAAATCTGTGCTAATTCATATCAGCAACACACTTCCTCTTTATCATAAACCCAATTATGATCCTCCACAGAGAACAAAAGGATTACTCGCCTCTTCATCTTCAAACCCCAAATATTTAGAAACTAGGAAATGAATACTCAAGAAGTCCATCAGTGTTGCAGAGCACATAGTAAGGGCATCATGCTTCTTTTGGGCAGGCCAGGAAGCATTGCATACTTTTAGACTGTCCAACATTTCCCATTCTGAGATCCAGTTTTCCGTTGCTTATCTCTAAACCTCTGAACTATTTGTTTTGGGATTTCCTGTTCTCTGTGCCTGTCTTAAGCTGATTTTTTAGTATGTAGGTTTTGAAAAAAAATAGTTCAGTGAGAAAAATGCAGTTGCCTTTTAGAGATCAATAAGCCCCTTAGTACTTGTCTGTATTTTTGTCTGTAGTGAGGAGGGCTGGATTGACCAGCAGGTTTGAGGGAACTGGGGGAAACTGGAGCCAGTAAGCAATGAAGAAGGTGGAAATGGGGCTGTTGGGATGCTCTGAGCTGACCTGCAGAAATGCTGAGTGTTGGGGTGTGTTGCAAGGTAAAGAATGCTGCCTTTGAGTAAAATATCATATGCAAAGTCCTTTGAAGTCAGTGGTGGATGTTTTTGACTGTAACCTGTCTGTATCCTTGATCTGCCAACTGTACAAGCTGGCTGATTTGACAAAGTAAATTCAGCTAATGCTTGGAGTGGTCCTCTAGTGAAAGAAGCCTAGAAAAATCTCTAAGCAACATGGTCCTTCTGTTTTAAGAATCCCATGTGTGTGGTGCAGGCTCTGCATGTTTTGCTCATGTGTTGTATTTCAAGAGCTGTTGAAAAAAGCTTATGAATAATTTTGGGAGCAGAGGTCAGGGCTAGGCTTTGATACAAAGGGACCCTTTTGGTTTTTGTCCCTCCGCCCTTGGGTATCTCCTCAAAAGGATTACTTGTGTTGTAGTGAGCCAGAAAGAGCAGTTCTGCTTCCCATTTCTCTCTCCTCCATGCCTCTACTTCCTATTGTATTGTTCTGAAACCTTCTTTATTCTGAATATGGTGCTTGTATATAAACTAAACTTAACTAACTTTTTTTCTGCCATCTTAGCAAGTGGAATAGCTCAGGCTGATGTCAGATGGGTGATCCAACCATTTCTGGCCGGGCACTGTGGGTCTGGGAGCAGAGGGTTTGTGGGGTTGATGAGATCACCTTTATAACCATGCTATATCTCAGGTGGTAGAGCCTTAAGTGAAGTATCCAGAGGCTGTTCCCTGTTTCCACTTTCCTCTGGATGGGCTCTAGGTAGTGTCTGTTTAATCCTGCCTCTCCTGAATGACTGATGTTTCTGGGAGTCTCAGAAGGTTCTTAACTTCCTGTGCCCTGAACCACCATCTCAAGGCCACACACTCTGCTTTTTTGTATCAAAATGTCTGTGTTGTGTGCTTAAATCAGGGGGCCCTAAGAAGGCTCTGAGCAGAATTAACTGTTTCTGAATCATACAAAGTCAAGGTTGACATTGCAACTTTGTAGTTCTGCCCCTTTCATAATTCTGTTCACTTCTTTGTTTTGCAAATGTAATGATATTCTCTTCAAGGATCTTGGATGGGCTTAATTGTAAAAAGTGGCATTTATAATGTCACAGTAACTTAAATTTTGTTCTAAAATAATTCTATATTCTCAAAATGTGCCTAAAATAGAATATAAAACTCTCTGGAAAATCAACTTTCATCTTACATCTGTTAAAAATTGTTTTGATCAGATATTGATAATATCTGTCACTTAAGCTATACACACAATCTGTGCTCCTTTTAAACATCAATTATTCATTACTTCTCAACATAAATAGTGAATAACTATGGGCTTTTTTTTTTTCTGTTGGTAACAGTTACTGAAATAAAAACAAGTCTAAGTGAATCTAAAGTATCTCAGAATGAAAGGCAATTTACAGGCAATCTGGCATCTCTCACCTTTAACCTGGGTCACCTACATCACGGAGGGATTTCTGGGTTTGTTGTTTGTGCAGTTGGTCTGGCTGTTGAGACCAGACTTTTCTGCTGAAGGTTTTGTCCAGCTGTCTTTGAAGGTGTTGAAACAAGATTCTCTTACTGTCGATTTCTCATAGTACTGTATATTTATTTACATTCACCTTGTGTGTTTTGAGGACAGGAAGTAGCATGCTAGAAACCTATTCCAAAATATTGGAATACAGATACAGTGAGCCTTGCCTCTGGATTACTTGCATTTTTTCAGGTTATCAGTGAAAACCTCCCAAACTTCTGAGATCTTTTGTGACTCATTAATTTGAGCATGAGAAATATTTGGCTGTGCTGTTTTTTTAAAGTAGGAACTAGTGGCTGCCAGATTAGTGTGTCTCTTTAATGCATACGTCTGTCAAAGGTCTCTGTAGCTGGTCTGGATGCAGATGGAGGTCAGAGAGGTTCCTTGGGCTTCATTTCCTCTGCAGGCTGTAAGCAGAACATGAAGTCATCCATCACTTGCCACAGATGATTTACAATAAATCACCTCCTGACATGCTGCTGCATGAGATCTGCAGCACTCCCAGTACAGTGCAGCCTCATGGACTCTTTAGGTGTTGCCTTAATGTTTAGGAAAAAATTGTCAGAGTAAGAAAAAACCAATTTGTTCCAAATGTGTTGCATATAGATCTCTGTATCCTTTATTTTGTGGCAGTTCCTCTTCAAACATTCCTGCCTGCCTTTTCCTTTTTGGAGGTATTTTTTCATCCCCATCCTCTTTGTACCACTCTGTTAGGCTTTGTACTCATTTGGACTTCATGTTAACTTGGGGCTTTCTACAGGAGCCCAGGAAAAGACCTCAAATGCACATGTCCAAAAAAAGCTTTCTGTTGTGAGCTTCACTGAGATCTGTGCATTTCAAATGCAATACCTTGATGAGAGCAAGCCCTACTAGCTCAAAATTGGGTGTTTTTCTGTGTTTCTGAACTTAGCGTCCTGGCAGAGTGGCTCATGTTTTACAGTCACACAGGGGAAGCACTCCATGGGACTCTTTTGTGTGGGAAGAATTGGATTTAGGCCCTTGTTCAGCACCATTCTCATGATAAGAGAAGGAGAACACACTTCTAACAAGCCTAGACAAAGTTAGAGCAAGGGTTTGAAGTCTGCTTGCTCCAAGATGTGCAGAGAAAAAGT